GATTTGGCAGCTTCCAGGACTCACCACCATCATTTATCAGTGCAGTTGCAGGAACTATCACCCCTGCCATAGGTGGTACAAGGTCCACAACAGACCCTGAGCTTCAGTCCACTCCCAATCTGTCCCAAAACACCACACAGACCCTGCCCAGATAATGACCTTTAACTGCTCCATCCATGGGCCAAACACTAAGTCAGCCTTGGGAGCAGCTCAAACCAGCCAAGAGGGAACTATGGCAAGGGAGGTTTTTCTAACCACCAACACAATTGCCTGGCTCAGCCATTGGCAAGGATTTGAGGAGCTCACCTCATCTCCAAGGGGTCCCACCACAGCTCTCCTGGAGGCAGGTGGCTTTTGGGGGTCTTGGTGTGGGGTGTGGAGACCCCAGCACGTGCCCACATGAACCATCAGCTTGCTGGGAGGAGGTTGAGCCCTGGTGATTAGGGCAGGGAGGGAACTGGGAGCTGGGGCATGAAACTGGAGAGGGGAAACATTTAAGCTTTCATTTTGGAAACAGCTTCCTGATAGGAGATTTATGAGCAGTGGGAACAGGCTCCTCTGCAGAAAGGCTGGAGGAGCGTTTGCACGAGGCTTTAAAACCCAAGACTGGATAAAAGAGCAGACAAGAGACATGAGGAAGGGATTTTGCTGTGACCAGAAGATGGATAAGACCCAGAAGGTGGTTCACTCCCAGCTGCCCTGCCCACATCCCCGTGGCAGGTCTCACACCTGCCTCCTGGGGCATCTGCCCATCGAGGTGACAGAGCAGCAAAGGTTGTCAGGCCATTCCTGCACTGCTCTGAAAGGCAACCAAGCACATGTGAGCAGCCCCAGATCTCTGTCCCTGCTCTCACCCCACAGCAGCTGTGGATGTGACCCCAGGGGCTGCCTCAGAACCTCATTCCTCAGCTCACACCTTGGTGGAGTAGCCAGAACCAGGGGCTTGACACATCCGACTTTTGTGGCAGGGACAGTTCATTAACACCTGGGGCTTGTTTAACTTGGACCTTGAAGTAGCTGAACTTTTTCTGACTTAGTTCTCCCTGTATAGATCCATCACACTTTCCTCTAATCAACCTTTCCTTCTTTCCTGACTTGGCCTTTCCCAGCCAGTTCGGGGGGATTTGATTTGCTTCAAAGCTGCTTTAGTGCTGCTGAAAGGCATTGAGGTGACAGCTCTGGTGATCCCAGCTCTCTACTCACCCACAAGAACAGCTCAGGCAGCTGCAGCAGGGGCTTCACAAGCTCCTCTGGCCCCACTTCCAACCTCAGTAAGAGCTGAAAACACCAGAGCAGCACCTCTCTGTACCAAGCAGACTTTCCCTTCAAGTCCTTCATCCTCCAGCAGCCACGGGTGGACACCAAGCTGCTGAGCTGCGTGGAACTGAGCCCTCGTGCTGCCCACACAGCCTGCAGCTGGCCCCAGTTCAGTGCTGGGGCAGAGCTGGCAATCCCAGCAGCTTCATGCTCCCACTTCCAGACCCTTCTCCAGGGTCTGCTGGGAACCTTGCCTGAGGTTCAGGCTCATAAAACCACCGAGCCAATGCCCCCAAAAGGGATTAGATGTGAAAAGTCTGTGACCTCAGCTGAGTCCAGTGAGTCAAAAAGCACTCTGACTCCAGGCTTACTGCCCCACAAAAACATCAGTGAAACCATTTCATTAATCCCCAGGGCCTCATTTCCTTCCTTCCTTCCTTCCCTCAGCCAAGCTGAAGCTTAAAATAGTTATTTTACATCCCTTGTTTTTCTCTCCAAAACTAACGAGTACCCAAATCAGCCAAAAAAAACCCCAAAAAGCTCTTGTGACATCAACCTGGCTCCATCATGCAACCTGCCCACCCCTGGCAGCAGCACAAGCAGCCTGCCAGGCTCCCAGCTCCTCCCAAAAGACATTCCTGGGGGAGCATCTGGAGAGAACAGCTCGAAGGCAACAGAAAACAGCAAAAACACCCCAAAAATCAAGGCCCACCTGCCCACACACAACTCTTAGGTGCCCAGGAACAAGCTCAGGTAACTCCCCAAGGTCACAAGTAGCTCTTCCAGCAGTCCCCAAAGGGAAAAAAAAGCATGGAAAAAGCACCTTCTGCCTCCTCCTGTTGGCACCTGCATCACAGCCCAGGGCTGGAACTGCACTCCAGGCTGCTCTCCTGGGCTCAGGAAATAAAGAGGTGATTTTTTTTTTTTCATTTGGACAAAAAATTCCAGCAAAGGCCTTGGCTTCAGTGCAGGGAGGAGGGCAGGAAAGAAGATGGAGCAGAGGTCTGGCTTTATTTGGGCTTTCACAGCTATTTCTGACCCTCTGGGCAGCCCAGAGTCCAACCAACAAGAAGGCTGAGCAGGTGATGGAGCCTGATTGCAAAGAAGGGACTTGAGCCCAAGCTGGAAAGGAAACCTCACCCAGGAGAGCTCAGAACACGCCACTCCATGAGACAAGGAGCCCCTCACTTCAAGATCTCTCTTGCTTGAGGCCCCTGCACACCAGGCACGAGCTCAGAGGAGCACAGATGAGGCAATGACCATTTTTTTTACCACTTTACCATGAGGCACTTCCTATGGACCAGAAGAGGGGCTGTCACAAGTGTCCCAAACACACAGAGAAGACGTGGCAGCTCCAGAGGAGGGAGCAGAGGTCAGTGTGTGGCATCTCACACCAAACATTTGGTGTTTTCAGCCTGAACTTCTACCCACACACCAAGCACAAGGCTTTGTGCTCCAGCCAGTCTCACAAGCACCAGCCCTTACCCATTATCTTAATGGGGCAAACTAATTAATGCAACCATCAAGGATGGATGTGAGGCAGCAGCTCCCATCTGCAGCTCCCTTTGAGTTGGCTCCATGTCAGAGGACAACCCCAGGGATAAGATGGCCTTGTCTCACAGCCCCTCCATCCACCCTGTCCACAGCAGGAGGGAGGCACAACTGGACACAGCCTGACATGAGGAGCACAGACCAGTTCTTCCCGTGGCCAGCAGAGGTGGAAAGATGAAGCTCTTCCTGGGCCTCAGCTGGGTTGAGCTTGGAAATGTTTCCAAAGGGCAACATGGAAAATCCTATTGTTGGAGCAGACGCAGCAAAATCCTGCCTGTGGGACAGATCTGAGGCAGATTTACAGCTCTGGGCAGCTGGAGATGGCTCATCCCCAGCAACTGGGCCTTGAGTCACTGCTTCAAAAAAGAAAACAACCAACACCACAACCCAAAGATGCCAACAACTCGGACCAGGTGTGGAGCAGAGACACGTTCTCCATCTCACAGGGCAACAGAGCTAAACCTTCTCCCCCAAAACCATGGAATTCAATGATCTTGGGAGGCCTTTCCCAAGCAGGACGATGCTGTGACACCGTTTTGTGCCCCTGCCCCTCAGGACACAAGGAGCCCTGCTCCCCCCAGGCCTGGAGCTGCTGCTGACCCACCTTCATGCTGAGCCCCCCACGGGCTGGCAGGGCCCCAGGACAGCCAGAAGCCCCCAGGAAGGGCTGTCACCTCCCCCAGGGCCACCCAACCAGCCCCTCTCCCCACTCGAGGGGACCTGCCCCGAGCTCAGGTGCTCCTCAGGGCAGCAGGACCTGCCCAAACAGCCAAGCCTTTTCTGGGGGGATTCCCCCAACAAACCCAGAGAGCTCACAACCTCCCACAGCCGGACGGACAGATCCCTCAGCCCCCCTCACAGACCCCG